TGTTGCATGCAAGGCAAACAGAATGTATAGAAACGTCAAAGAGATCCGATGCCACCGGTGCGGTGAGCAGCGTTGCCAGAATGTTTTAAAGCTTATCGGTAGCAAAGGTTTTAAAAAATCGGTATTTATCGGTATTTACTATTTATTTATTTTTTTGCTGTTATTGAAAGCGAAAATTTTTATCTTTTGGACTATGATCGGAAAATTCCGGAAGAAAACTCCGGGGAATGTTTGAATTAGCTTCTGGAGGAAACTGATAACAACATCCAGCTATAGAAGAAAGAAGCTCTCTTGGAGAAAATTTGAGGAAAGTTCTGAGAGAAGTCGGAAAAACATCCGCGAAACTTCCGAGACATAAATTGAGAAACTTCTGGCAAAAATTTAAAGAAATTTTCAGAAAAACAATCGGATTTCACATTCAAAGGAAGGCAGAAAAGTTTCAGAAATCGTAAGTAAATTCCAGAAGTAGTCATTTCCAGGGGAAGCCAAAAGGAGCTTGGAAAACCCTTCCAATAGAAGTAAAAAAAAACCAACTGGACAAAATTCCAGAACTAGACGAAAGAAATTTCTGGGAAAAGTTTATTTGAACTTCCTGGAGAAGACTGAAGAAACTTCCTGGAGACACTGGCACAAACTTCCTAAGGTAGATTGGGAAAAAAAATCTGAAGAAAGTCGGAAGCCAGAGCGCTTTTGGAACAGTCGAAAGACACAAGGACATAATTCCGGAAGAAAGAGCTCCTGGGGGATGTTCTAATGATGCGGAAAATTTACCAAATGGTCATAAAACATCCCTGAAGGGGTGCACGACGTTAGGCACACGGTCGTTAGGCATACGTACGTTAGGCATACGGACGTTAGTCATAATGTACGATAGGCATAATGGACGTTGGGCATAAAGGACGTTAGGCATAATGGACGTTAGGCATAATGGACGTTAGGCATAATGGACGTTAGGCATAATCTAACGGATGAATTCCAGAAGGATGATAATGGACCGTCTATTGATTGCTGACTTCGGTGACAATAATGAAAGAGCCTTAATTTTTCGAACTCATTAACGACGTCTTGGACAGGCAAAGTATTGGGTTACAGATGGTACGTTTGCCACAGTTCCTTGTTTGTTTCGGCAACTCGTCACTGTTCATGGAAGTATCGCTCCCTCACATCAGCAAGTTTTCATTCTGATGACAACAAAATCAGAATCGTTGTATCGAAAAGTATGGCAGGAAATCCTGGAAGCAGCAGGTATGTTTTTTTGTTATTGAATGAAAAACCACAGAATTAACCATTCTTGATTTCATGAGCTGTTCTTTGGCATCATATTTTATTCAACCTTGGCTATTTTTTGTTATTGAATGAAAAATCACAGAATTCACCATTCTTTATGCCCCTGAAGTTTTTCGAACATTCCTGAAATGTACTTAGGAATATTACATATTTCCTCGGAATTCCTTAAAAGTTCTTGTAATTTTCTTAAAGTTAATAGGGCTGTTTTGGAGTACTCTGATCATATTTGAAATACTTGGAACTTCCCTGATTATAATGAGACTGCCGGAATACCTCTAATCAACTTTGAAGACTTTCTTGAAGATTACGAAATTTCTTAGGCGCTCTCACAATTTTCTTGAATTTATTGTAACATCAGCATTGAAGTTCTCTGATATTTTTAATTTTTGGAAGTTATCGACCCTGCCATTAATAAGCACGGAACTTCCCAAAACATGTTCTCACAATGTGCTAATGTTCGTGTAACTTCCCTTACGTTTCTTAAATTTGCATGAGCCCCTCGGAGCATTGCTGAAGTTTTCGGAAATAGCATGAGTTTTTCCGAACTCCTTTAAAATTTCAGCACTTTCCTTGAAGTTGATTGATCTGTCCTGATGTTCTCGGAGCTTCCTAAAGTTCTCTCAATTCTCTTGAAACTAATGGAACTGTCCTGAAAACCATTAAATTTTCCAGAAGTTCTTTAGACTTATGAAGTATCCAAAATATGTATGATGTTTCCTGAAGTCACTGGAGTTCACTGGACCGGGTTTTAGAATTTTAACAGAAGTTATTGAAACATTCTTTAATTTATCGAAACTTATTAAAAAGTTTGGACTTTTCTGAAGTTTGAGAACTTCTTAAAAGTTCCTGCAGCTAGTGTGGATCTACAATCAAAATCTGGAAGCATCCCTGAAGTTCCGAAAATGTTGAAAAAACTGGCGGGAGAAGATGGAGGAATCATTCGAGCGAAGGCTGAAGAAGCTTCCAAGGAAAGTCGAAATAAGTTTCCGAGAGGAATCGTAAAATAATTTACGATAGTGGAAGAAAATTCCAGGGAAGTTAAAAAATGTTTCAAAAGTATTTCCCGATTCCCCCGGAATTACCAAAAAGAGCCATCGACTGTTTATCGATTCATGAGTAGCCAAAAATGGTGAGGAAATTGAAACATTAATCGAAAGAGTATCCATGAGACATTTATGAAAATGATTTTTTTATTAGAATTTTAAAGGCTAAAAAAAGATATTCAATAAGATACAAGTCTCTCCAAATAATTTTCTCCAAAATTCGAGCGCGGGCAGGCAATATTCATTTTGATTATTTAAAAAAATCGGTATAAAATTTCAAAAATCGGTATTTTAAGAAACCTTATCTGTATATCGGTATCTAGTTCGGAAATCGGTATAAATATAGATATCTGGCAACACTGGCGGTGAGTAGTTCGTGGAAATGCTAATATTCAAATCAATCGTTAAATGCGTGAACGATGATCCAGAATGAAGAGTTACGGAACGAGTAGTGGAATGGGTCTGGGCTTATTTTTTAAGATTCTGGTTAGCTTCCAGAAAGGCTTTGCCCAATCAGTGCGAAATCGTTATTTCTGAGATGCATCATCCCCTGACCTGAATGATGTTTGTTAATCGATTACAATTGGTCTTCAAGTTAGGCAACCCAGAACGCCTGCCTTCGAATGGTGTTACGAAATCTAATGAGATCTTTAGTAGAGCTGTCAAGGTTCAGAGTGTTACTCACCTGTCTAGATACTTGCCCGGGAAATCGCCTCCTCGATGGTATGACGCCGGCCAACAACTTCGGACGTCTCCGGTTGGACATCGTAGTCGACGCAGTGTTGCTATTGAGCACAGTTGACACGATGGTAGTTGCGCCGAGAAGCTTCGAATCGCTTCACCGAAGGACCAATTTCGGCCAGCACCGGATAGTGGTCCGAGCTGAGTTCTTGGTAAACTACAGGTTGCGAGATGTTGTTGGCCAAGTTGCTGATATAGATGTCGATGGTAGCTTGGGCACCGAACCTACGCTACCGGGTTGGAGTGTCCGGACTCAAGATGTTGCACTGCACTTTCTGCAGGTCATTGTACAGGATGGTGCCATTTTGGGGCAGTAAGGCGCAACGATGGTGACAAGAGTAGAACTTCCACCCCTACGGCTTCGATTATTTTCAGCTGGAAGTTCGGCACGATGGAGAGCGATGGTCACTCCCCCCCCCCCAGCCTCACAAGACGTTAATCTCAAACTTCAGGTGTATTTCGGTGATGATGGCGATTACGATGTTTCGTTCGTTGAGGAATTCAACGAAGTCGATGCCCTTACTCTTGAGCGAGCAAGCGTTCCAGTTGGCAATTTTGATGGCTTCACGGTTCACACTAATTGACGAGGGATACGGTAGCATGAAACTGTTTTGTTCGGGTCCTGCAGGTGCGCTGGATTATGATGACTTCTGTCAAGAGTGTAACAAGTTCCGCCGTTGTAAGCTAAGTGTCTGCATTCTCGATCGTTGGTGAAGGGGGAGCACCTTCATGGTGCCACGATAGCCCCGGAGATGGAGAGGTGCTTCGGGATGCAGCGGTTGCCGCATATGACTGACGTCTTGAGTATTCCCGAGTGTTCGGCACCCCAGCTGTTGGCGGGACCAATGCAGCAGCAGCAAAACGCTTGTTGAGTGGAACTGGCGGAAGCACCGGAATTTGGCGCCGTTGGGGGATGGCAGGTAAATTCTTGCTTCGGGCATGTCTTGCTGGTTGCCCGATGTGCTGCACCACAATTGGCACATTTGGGGTCTGCGTCCTCCATTAGCTCGCAGGCATCAGGTGCGTGCTGCTTGCCACAATTATTCCAGCGTTAGGCCAAACTGCCCCAAGTTTCACGTTGGGTGGCTTCACCACAATCACCACAATGTGCTCTGAAGGTTCTTCAAATATGTTGCATTCCTTTCCAGGTGCACCAGATACAGCAGGTCGCGGTGAAGCGTCATGACGATTCATCTTGAAGATGTTGATTGACATGAGTCCATGTTGCTTCAATTCATCCGACAGTGTGACTGTTTTCCTGTCGGGAAGGCCACGCAAGACCACCTTGAGCGGTTTTTTTTATCCAGTTCGTTAATTTGGAAGGCTCAATCGCGTTAGCTTTACGGAGCCGATAATTCATTGTTCACTGTTCGTAACAAAATTCACTTAATTCTATGTCTAGTAGAAGTTGGGCCGAATACTTACGGTGCGGCTTACTCGAGGTTAGAAGGGCACATTGTTGAAGGATAGGATCAGGGGAGCGTTGTCGTTAGTATGAATGGTAGTACCTTAAGCGACTTGGTAGTCAATGAATGGGAAATTTTGATGCTTCCACTATTTTCACTATTTGTACTATATGCCACAAAATTGCTGGATAAACTCCCCGTCGAATGGCATATATTGCATGACATATTTCACATTAATGCTTTGGAGAAATATGCGTTTGAAAACACCCCCCATTTTCGTTACATATCTCATTTTCGATATCTTAATGTGACCCCCAGCATAGTAAAGAAAGACGTAGCCTTACGTCAAAAGGTTGTAACAAATGCAATACTTTTAAGTACAAAAAAAAAGCTCAAGCACATCGACCCATGAACGACAGACCAGTGAATGTTGTTGCTAGGTGTATAAATATTTACAGCTCAATTTCATGCACCAATTTTATATCCTGCCATTTCATGCTCTCCTTTTTCATTATCCTTTCAGGCATCAAATGTCCAGTGTGCAGCAAGTTTGTCATGCCCGACGATATAGAGTGTCATTTAGTAATGTGCCTAACGAAACCTCGTTTGTCTTACAACGGTAAGTGTGGGAGTCCGCTCCGGTTCGCTGAAAATAGATCGCAGCGGTTCATTCTTTTCTCTCCATCCTTTTTTTCAGAGGACTGCTTAACGGATGCCAAGGGTGAATGTGTTATATGTTTAGAAGATTTATGTCCCGGTGATATCATTGCTAGATTACCATGCTTATGCATCTATCATAAAGGGTTAGTATGATCGGAATATATGGCCTATGCTAGAATTTATTGACTTGGTGTCCTATTTTGTAGATGTATCGACAAATGGTTCGAGGTGAATCGCAGCTGTCCGGAACATCCGGGTGACTAGTGAAGCTAAATTGGTTCGCGTCAAGTTCGGTTTTCTTTTTTTCTGTACTACGCAAGGACCCTGCCGTCGGACAGGTCATCCTAGTTGGTCGCGCAGCACAGTGGGGACAGAGGGAACGGGGAAGAGTCTACACTAGTGGTTAGTAGTAATAGTAGTAATTAAAAAATTGAAACATTGAAAGAGATCAAGCAACTGTGAAAGAGGAAGGACGATGACGACGGACGTCGTCGCGTCGTTGGATGGGATGATGATGAGGGAATGCTCGCGAGAGGGTTTTGATTTGCTGGGCAAATTGGAACCCTCGGGAAAGTGGAGTCAGTTAGCATCAGGGCCACCGCCACCGCCAGGAACGAAGAGATGATTGTACCGGGGGGTGTTTCTTTTGTTATAGTGATAGTTTTTTACCTGATTTTCCGGGGTGGCGAACTAGGGAAAATAGCAACAAAGGCAAACAGACACGCAATAGAATCTTTACTTAGCAGCCACCGAAGTGCGGGGTGGTGGGCGAGAGACGCAGAGCAGAAGGATCGCGGAAAATGTGCAAGCTTTTTTTACTGTATACTGCAATAAATCGATGAGTAGAGGAAATAGACTAAGCTAACGGATGGGAAAATTGATTTTTTTCCGCGCGAAAGCAAAATTAGAGTGACAACCAAAAGCAAACAACCAGAAGAACAAGCGCGTTCGAATGAAATAGCTATATCGAAACAAAACACACACCCATATTTAGGCAATTATATTTTTAAATCTACCGTCTCAGAAGTAGTTTTTCAAACACGAGTTTCACAAACCAGACAAAAAGCGTTTTAATTTTTCTATTTTTCTTACGCTCTCGAACTGTCCATTGTTAGCTGACGTTTGTGTGAGCTAAAACGAATCATATAAAATATACTAAGAAAAAAATGTGGCCGAGGATGTGTTTGTTGCTCGCGAGGAACGTCGCTTTGTAAATATTTCAAATAAGTAAGTTTCAACCGAATGGAGGAAAGAAAAGTAACGATAAGAAACTAAACAATTAGATCTTAGCAAAGGGAAAACAAAATCTAACTGATTAAAATAGTGAATCAAAGAATACAAAAATAAAGCAAATGATGCGACAGACAGAACAGGAAGAAATCATAAGAAGAAAATATCTGTAAATGAAATTATGTAGAGATCTAAACGTGTTTGAAACAAACAAACATAGTAAAGAAGAAAATCGAGAAATTACCGTTAACAATCCCGCTACATTCTTAAACAGCAACACACAGAAACAATAGAGAAAATAACAACATCAATAAACAGTCTTAAAAACAAAAACCGGCAGCAGTATGTTAAGTGTATATGCAGCAAAACAATAAATAGCAATTTTCCAACAATTTCAATCCCTGCTCTTTGGTTTTATGCGTTTTGTTTCATCCTTTTCTGATTCACCCCCATCACATCCATCTAGCTCTCATTCACGTTGAAAGCGAAGAAAAATGGCCGCATGTAAATACAACCAGAACGGATCTCTTTTGAGACATCAAGCAAACCCACACTACTACTTAGAACTCGTAAAACAATAGGCGACGGAGATTGACGGGGAGAACAAAAACCGTCTTACGGTTTTAGAGCAACATTTTGGAGCTATAATAAAATAGAAAAACAAACAACTGAGTGTGTGTGTGTGTGAAAAAATAATAAGCTATAATCAGCAGCAGATGAAAGAGGAGCTTGAAATGCCACCGTTTGTTACTAGAGATCTATAGAAAGAAAGAGAAAGAGATGTGGGGAAGTGACACACACTTACACAAACATATACAAGAAGCCGGGATATCTCGAGAGAAGAACCAAAATCTGTTACATTGCAAAATGTTGATTGACACCGCGCATACAACTACAGAACAACAGAGATAATGCAATGATGAAATCGTATTTGACAATGTCTTACACTAGGAACAATAGGAAAAGGTTCGTCGCTGGTCCTGAAAGAAGAAGAGGAAGGGAGGAACGAGCGACTGACAGCAGAGCATCATCAGTAGCATCAGTTTTAGGTAGATAGCTAAAATCAACGATCGACTATTCTAAACTCGAAAGTATGAAGGTAAAACAAACAATGCTATAAAGAAGGGAAGATTGCAGTTTGGATGAATGTTTAAAACAGAAATTGAAACTACGGAATGGGGCAGGTTTTTCGGTGGTGGTTTTCGATTTACGCTCTTGCAAGTAGTAATTTATCATTGCTTTACATGAGAAGGCCAAATAAGGTACAGTGTTTACTAAAAGAGTAAGACGTCATTTGCTTCAGTTTGTCATAGTCATTGCCAGCTCAGTATGAGTGCTATTCTTCAAAATAATGACATTCTTGTTGTTTTCCACTAAATTAAGCATGGACCGTTTAATTGCAAATTAGCACACAATTTTAGTTATAGGGACCTGGGAACACCTGAAAAATCTGGGAATTTCAAGTTGCCATCCTGTACAAGTACACTAAGCCGATGATGATTATGAAATTGATCTACCACCCATTGTAGCACGGAAAATAAGTCCGAGAGCAGCGGGCTCTCCTCGCTGTTCGACTGGATCAAGCGTAATAACCTCTGATTATCTTTTTTTTTTGCTTTATTAGAGAGATTTTTAGCCTTGGGCTGGTTCATCTCTTAAAGACGAGGGGTGGGGACTTCAGACGGGAGTCCCCCTAATTTGAGCTAATAGGATGGGGAGGTGAGGTTCCAGAGGAGAACCCCGAGGATACGGAGTTAGGAGATGGGTGGGAGATCCAGAAGGGAGTCTCCATAATAACAGAGTTTTAATATTTCAGAGTTGGGAATTTTCCTTCAATGCTACCGGTGTTACTGTCCTATTGGATTTTCGTGGTCAAGTGGTCAAGTTCCGTGTCCTGTTCCTTTGTAGCCGCTGTGTTTAATTTTAGTGCCGTCATTCGTCCACTTCCGTGTCCTTGTACGTGCTTTGCTTGGTTCAATATCTTCGTTCATCCGTGTCCGAGTCAGTATTTGTTGCCGAGGTATAGTTTTGAGTCCGAATCATTGTCCGTTGTCGTTGCTTGGGTGTTTAAATTTGATTAATCAAACCTGCTTCCTGAAGGAAGCAGAATAGTGCAGCGATGCTGGATGGGTAATCCCTCAGGGTATCCCTGATGCTACCTGAGATCCCGTAAAGGGAACGGGGTCCGTGGTACTGGGGGCATTCGCATAAGAAATGCTCCACTGTAAGTGGAACATTGCATGTCTCGCACTGCCGTCTGAATCCGCCTCCGCCTCCCATGTTGTGGGAGACTTTGGTATGTCCGGTTCTCAACCGAGATAGAATGACTTGAAGTCGGTGTTCAGGTGGATCCTCCCATTTCCTGGTATCCCCTTTTACCTTCCGGAAAAATAAGTCTCGAGATCGCATCCATTCGTTAGTCCAGTAGTTCCATATAGTGATTGTGATCCACCGCTTTATGTCCTGGGCCGGAGCCTTTCTGGTGTAAAAGTTGGACTGTCTTCCGGATGCCGCCAGGTGGTCGGCTTCCTCATTACCTCTGATCCCACAGTGTCCGGGGACCCATACAAAGGTTGTTTCCTTAGGTGCGAACTGCTGGATACCCTGGATCCAGGGGTGTTTAGCTGTTTCAGACTGGAGAGCTGCTAAAACACTTGCAGAGTCGGAGAATATGACGATCGGTTTGATCGAGGGTAGGGTGACAGCTACGAGAATGGCGGCTGCTTCAGCAGTGAAAACGCTGCATGGGTCTGGTAGTCGGTAAAAGGTGCACAGCTCCGGATCGGAAATTCCAATACCAACTCTACCGTAACTTCGGGATCCATCGGTGTATCGTACTTGATGATTGTTGTATTTGGTTCGATATAATTTGGCTACTGTTCTCACTAGCGCAGGGGAGTTGGTTCCCGCCCGGAAACTGCTCTTTATCACCGGATCGATGGACAGACCGGGTGAGTTCCAACCTCTGGCTCCACACCAGTGGACCCTGGCTACAGGGGGGAGCTCCAGGTTAGCGGTATTATTCAGGAGATCGTTCGCCTCCATGAGGAGGGACACTCCGTCACTTGTCACTGTAGTCTTTTCTGCCAATCGCTTTCTTGCAAACAGATGCGACAATGTACTTTTCAAAAGGCAGCCTTCCACTCTCCACGCAGGCTGCCAACCTGGGGGTGGATGGGAGGAGACCTGATGTGACCCTAATGGCCTGATAATACACTGGAGCCAGTTTGTAAATCAACCTATCAGCAGCCAGGCAAGTCAGTTCTAAACCGTAGGTCAGTCTGGAATCAACTACCGCTTTTGCTACACGCATACGAATAGCACGGTTGTTCATTAAGTGTCTTTTGGCCAGTGTTCGGAGTAAATCAATGCTCGTTTGGCAGCTCTTTTTCACCTCATTAAAGTGGTCGACAAAGTTTAGATGCCTATCGAGTCGTAGGCCGAGGATGCGGTTAGACCTCTTGACCTCTGATTATCTTGAACTGTCACTGTATGAAGGACCAAAAACGGATTGCGTGGATCGATAGGCAAAATCACCTATACGCATCCACGGGACAGTGAAGCATCTCCTTCCAGCAACATGATCATACAATTGGTCAAAAAAACAAGCCAGAGTGTGTTTATCCACGACATGTTCATTCTTTTATTTAACGTCGGTCTCTGTTCTGCAATCTAGTGCCAATAACCGACGGACATCGATTGCCATCCATTGACGGCAATCGAATGTGCAGCAGCAAGGCAGCTTTCACACCTGCATAGGATATCGCACCCATTCGAACACGCATGGGCCGGGACCAATGGCTTTACTTCCCTTCCGAAGGAAGACGTGACCAGAGATTTTTATGCCTCAGAAAAATCCTACCGACCTCGGCTGGGATTGAACCCAAACCCATTGGGGTGAGAAAGCAGTCACGCTTACTACTACACCACCGGCGCCGGCTTTCTGAACCATTTGGTGGATTATTTTAACTTTTGGTTAAAATTTGACAGATGGAAATTTATCGATTAATCCAGCAACCCGAGCGTGGTTATTTCTGACAGACAAGAAGTTAAATTTTGACAATCGTGATTGAGTTCTTCTCGAAAACCGGTCGATCGACAGCACAGGGATTTTCAAACATAGAGAATAACTTTCGAAATGTCACTTTTAACGCCTTAGCTTAGTCACTCGGCAAATGGTTCACAGCCTTAGCTATCCTCAATCGGATGTAGGAAAAGATCGACGCGACCAGTTCGCAAAACAGTCAGGCTCAGTGAGTAATTTTCATATGAATATGAACTGCCATGATGTGAATGATGAGGCAGATAGGGTGCCTTCCATTCATTTTGGATAAAAAATGTATTACTAAACTATGGAATAGTAAGATATTATAATAATATTTTGTTTGTGTAAGCAACAAGAAAAGATTGTGAAGTTTGTGTTTGACACATAATACCTGCCAATTTTGCTACATGAGTGTCGCAATAAGCGATTTTGTCATTTATCTCACCCACTCTTCGATTTTCACTCTTCATGAAGAGGCGATTAGAAAAGCGCTCATTGTGACTCTGGCAAAGCTAAATTTGCAGGTTTTGTGTGTCAAACACTAACATTACAGTCTTTTCCTATTACTTACACTTACAAAATATCATCAAAATATCTTATTTATTTAATAAAAACAAAATTTTAGCCAAAATGGATTAGATGGCATCTGCCTTCCCTAATAAAAATTGTATGGTTAATTTGCTTAACGACGTGTTCTGGGTATCATCAAAACCATTTGTGGAATAGTTCAATGATTTGGGTTATCGTTCGTTTATGGTTATTTTTTATTAGGGTTATCATTCACTGCCTCGTGAGAGTCTGAATGATTAAGAGGTAAACGAATCACTGACAGCCGAGCACTCAGTCAGTAGCTCAGTCAGCATGTTTATTCTTCCGTGATGGAACCCAATACTTGTTTGAATGACTGAAAATGTATGCTTTTCTATGGAAAAATGCCTCAATTACCAACGTGAATGAGAGCGAAGGCAAGCGGTGTGAGCAGTGCTGCAAAATATCAATATCAATACCTACAAAATGATGAATTTCACTAGCCACCTGATGTCAGTATCAGTTCAGACAGTTAGATTATCAATATCATTCGCCGCAATATCAGTGCGCAAATGACATTGACATAATAAACGGACCGCTGATATTCAAAGTTTTTCCATAAATGTTTCGTATATACGCCAGCTAATTGAGTACCGATGTTTAGATCGGTAGATCTAACAGATCTTGTGTGGACCATATTGTCATGCTGGAGCAGGTCAACAAATTCCATGAGTCCCTCTGTTTGGTATTCATTGTCTAAAAAAAAAGACCGACTCATTCAAGAAAATGTTTGGGACGCCCTGAGACGCAAATGAATCCCGGATA